AGTTTGACACAGGTCTAGAAAATTTCAATTGTTTTTTTAATGCAATGCTTTTCGACACATTTGTTCAACGTGTTCTTTGTCACTTTAATAACCAGTGTAAGAATCTCACTGTTAAACGAAACCACGCGCGCGTTTGGGCGTACTTTTAATATAATTTATAAGAACTGTTTCGAATAAATATTTATCCGAGATAATTATTCAAATAAATTCTTTTCAGTCGAATATTTTATTCGAATAACGAATATTCATCGTTCGTAATACATTATTCTATCGATTTATTCGGATAATTCTCCACTTTTTATTCGCGTAAGTTATTCGATCGTAAAATTATTCGAATAATGATGGAAATAATTGTTCACTGTTTTTGTTTCTGGGTATGTAATTTCATACGAATATATTTAAACAAATGCATTCGAGATCAATTCAATTTCAACTATTTATAGAATTATAAAATTGCGGATGCCTTCTTTTAGCACCCGTAAAAAGATTACTTACGGTGATATAGTTATGCATCAATGAACAATCAACCCAAAAGTAACAAAATTTCCGATGCAACATTTGAAAAAGGGAATATGAGTGAAAGAAATTAATAAGCTACGAAAAAAACACATTAGCTGCTATCATTTTTATTCGTATCGTTTGTTTTCCATATGAATTCCTGTACGAATCATTTCTTATTTGAATCAAATCTTATTCGCATAAATTTGTATTCGATTGAACATTTATTTGATAGTGTCGAAGAAAATTTCATTCGTTAGTCTTCATCACTTATCCGTCATCCGAATAAAGTTTTGTTTTCTTAATGTATTGTATTTTCTCTACAATAGAACCCCACTTTTATAATGTAATAGCATCGTGAAAAAAGAAGACAAAAATATCTGTTACAGCCTAAAAATGATGCACAGAATTTTCTATATGAAAAAGTGTCACGTTCTACCAATTTTCTGTTGGCTGAATAAATTTAGTGAATTTTTATTTTATTTTTAAGCCGAATATAAAGTTTCTCCCCTTTTCCTGATTTCTGATACACTTTAATCGAGAATGAAATAGAATTCATAGTTCAAATACTAACTTGTTTTCCTAGCTTTCGCAATATCCGTAGAGGAATTTTGAAGAGCATAAAGGAGGTTTTTACTACTTCTTTTATGATATGTCGTAAATCTACCAGCGCTGGTTCCATTGGTTGATGTGGTCAGGATTTGTTTTTGGTGATACCACTAACTTCTTTACATTCTTATGACGTTTGTCCACCATTGAATATTACAAACCTAAAAGTTTCTTATTTTTCGGAATTTTTAACATTTCACATGGAATACTATTATAATTTAGCACTATACAGGCGACGCTGGTTCCTTTATTTTGTTCCTTATTAATCTTTCACTGAATTTACAAAGACTGTTACGATACAGCTGTAAAATTGAAAATTTGCAATTAATCATGAATAGGCTGCGGATTTTATGCATTCACGATGGAATTGCGTAATTGTAATTTAGAATTCTAGAAAGACTATGGGATTTTTAAAGTGTCAATGTATTGTTTTTAATTTATTAAAATTATTAAAAGAGGGAAGATCTTTCTATTTTGTTTCTATTTTTTATAACTGATACAGGCAATTCTTATTTTCCATAAAAATCCTCAATCTAGTCATAAATGTATTTTCTGTATTACAATATCGGTATTGTGAAATTTTCGGAATGTAAAAGAAAAGCTTTGCAAGTTTGTTAGGTACCTTATAAAATGCAAACAAGTTTAAAAATATTTACAGTTCTGGTGTGGTACATATAGATGAAAATATTTGTTCGTTAAATGATTAATGAGAGTATATAAACAGCCTGGGAAACTCTTTCTAGGAGACACATGGTTCTCAGAAAAAAAGACCAAAATTCACGGTGAGAATATCTCCATACGTAACGCAGGAGATATTTACACGGCGAAGAACCGAAAAATACCGAGAAAGATAATTCTCTCTTGAAGTACCCTATAAATTTGAAAAGTATAAAAGAAATCGGAATTTTCGCATTACCAAAAGCTGCTTGTCAAAAAGGAAATTCCACGCATGTAACGTATCCTATATGTGTTTTCTAGCGATTCGTTCTCGATAGTTCTGCATATTAATATTTCTTCAGTTACTGTATTCTCAAAAAAAAAACTTGAAATAAGATCACATCGCTTGGTAGCAGTGTTTGCAAATTAATAAATTAATTTCATGCACCCCTTTGAACCTCTTACGCTATAATAACAAGTTCAGACTCGTGATGAAGTTTTCATACATAATCTACTAAATATAAATATTATTCATTTCTCCTAAATCGAAACAAAATTTGATGTTTCTGGTATTAAAAACTAAGAATGAAATTTAATAATACAAGAAATAGAAATTGTCTCGTTCGATTAAAGAAATTACTGAGGACGAACAAGTTGGGTATTATTCCAATTTTTTCGAATACATATTTATTTAAAATAATTATCTGAATTTTAGTGGAATATTTTATTCGAATAACAATTATCCATTATCCGTAACAAATTATTTTCCACTTTTTATTCGAATGAATTATTCGCATAAGGAGTGTAAAATTATTCGAATGGCAATCAGTGTCAACTGTTTTCCTTTTTACGTAATCTTTTAACCATGTACGTGTTATAAACATGAATCTTGGAACATACGATGACTTCCTTTGCATCCGAAGAAAGATTAAAAGTCTGATGCATTAAAGTCATGCATCAATGATCAATTTATTCAGTAGTAACAAACTTTCAGATGCAGCAGTCAAAACACAAGTTAATTGTAAAAATTAACGTGCAAGAAATGAATCAATGAACTACGGAAAAACACTATATTCTATAATTTTCATTCGAATCAATTACTTTCCGAATTAATTTCCGTACAAATGATTCAAATAATAATTTATTCGAATAAAATCTTATTGGGATAAATTGTTATTTAAATAAATATTTACTCGATTCGCGATATTTATTCGATAATGTCGAATAAAATTTCATTCGGATAAACTGTTATCTAAACGAATGTTTATTCGATTCGATATTTATTCGACAATGTCAAATAAAATTTTATTCGTTAATCCTTATCACTTATCCGTCATCCGAATAAAATTTTGCAGAACATAGGATTCAACTGTACGTTGGTTGTTAAACAATTTTTAGAATCTCGATTGTGGATGAAATTTTTTCCAATTGATTTTATATTACGTGGATGATAAGTGAAAGCTCATTGTCTCTGGCTTTAAAACGCGAGGTGATTTCGGGCTAACAATTTTAACTGACGCTAAAGGTAATGGAAGGCCAATTATGACGGCGCACCACAGTTATATTTTCCCGTCGTTCAACCGGTGCGCTGGCCAGGATATGCCGGTTACATCGGGCCACTGCCATAAACTCGAAACGTAATGGCGTTCCGGGCGCTGGTTAAACGTTCTAGTACGACACACCTGTGGGCTGTCCCCGGCACATTTTACTCGCAGTTTTATTTATTTATCCGTAACGAACACGACCGATTTCGAAGTCACTGTTTCCTCCGATGCGGGCCACCCTTGTCCTATTTCCTCTGATACTCCTCGCCCTCGTACCGTGATATCTCGCCGAGATATAAGAACACTACTACATCCATTCGACGAAACCAGTTAATTTTCCTGACGTAAAGTCACAGTAGTGGTCGTAAATCTAAGTTGATCAATTTTACTTTCACAGTTATGTTAGTTTAGTTACTTTTAGTTACTTTCAGTTAGTTACTTTCAGTGTTGTATAAATATACATATGTTGTATACAGAGTTTTTATATGTTGTAAACAGAGTATTCGAATAACTTTTTATCTAGATAATTTTTCGAATGAATAAATAATTGAATAATTTCGTTGCGAATTTGTTGCGCCTATTACCTTATTCTTGAATAAATTATTCGCGAATAGTTTATTCACAAACAATTTATTTGCGAATAGTTAATTTACGGGTAATTCATTCGCGAATAAAATGTTTTTTATCTTTGCGGATAAAAATAATTTGTTTGTAATTCGCGATGGCAATTTACGGCTAAAGAAACCGTTGAGGTTCCGTTAGAATAATATTAAAAGACATTGGATATTTGTCCTTTCTCTACTATTATTTGATTGCTATGCATAATGATCTCTTGAATGACTTTTTTGTGACGTTACAAATATGAGAATAATTAAGGGTGACAGAGTCAGGAGGGACACCCTGTACAATATCGGTGTGCGTATAAATATTGTTGGTCTTGAATCGAGTATGCCTCTTATAATTAGTATGGTGTGTAAGTAAGAAAGAAATATGTAAATGTGGCGACAATGAAGTGATCGGGGCCCTTTTGTTCTGTTCAGGATTTCTTCAGGGGCACATGTGGTTAATCATAATTAACGAATAACGAAGAAAAATCTTATTCTTATTGGTCATTCGTCAATCGTATGCATTTTGTCCAACGCTGGTTGCATAACTTATAATCGTGGACTAATTTGTACCGTATAACTTATAACGCAAACTTCATAACGCGGAAACTAAAAATGCGAAGTGAGAGATAACTTACTTTAGGAAACGGGAGGCGAAGTCAACCGCACAAATTTTTAATTTTGTTTACTGCGACGACACAGGAAGTTAGTGACATGAATTTTTTATTCTCAGAAAGAAGAGACGCTCCTTTCATAACCGTGCATATTTCAACCTGGCTATTTCGCTTTAATCCGTTAAAGAGTTCAGAAGCTCCAGTAATTCGTTCAAGCAGAAAGTACATAGACATTACACATTTTTAATCAATTGTTTAGCGAGAATGAGAATAAACTTCGAGTGGTTATAAGACGATTAGTAAAATAATAAAAAGAGAGTATTTGAAATTCTATCGTCGCTCTAATCTCTAAAAATATACAAGAATTATGGACAATTAAGGATGAATACAAAGGTTTAATTAAGAAATAAGTGTATAGTTTCTGTTTCGCATTATTGTATTTTCCGTACTTTATTCGATACTTTTTGTTTCAGATTAGCGGACAAAATGTCAACGAATTGGCAATACAACTCGCCTAAGGGTTAAAAGGTAGTAATATTAACGTTTTCTACATTTCTTCATTTCCAAATTGTAAGTTCGCATCGTCTAGATCAGGGCTCGGAATTAACCAGCTCGCAACATGGGGATCGCGAGGGCTACGCCTCCTGACTCCCGCTGCGCGTCTCGCTCCCCGCTGATCGCCTAAATCAGGCCTGGACGAGACATTGTTTCTTCTGTGCTCCACGCGGGGCTGCCCATGTTATGTGTGACAATGTGCATGGAGTCGTAATAGTAGAACTTATAGCTCGCGGTCGAAATGACCGGCCTGGCCTAAATGCTACACATATATATAAAGCAACAAGCACACACGCTTGAGGTACTCTGTGCCGAAAGCGGCGACCAAGTGGTGCGGGACGCGTGACGGGAATCAGGGGGCGTAGCCCTCGCGATCCTCACATTGCGTGCTGGTTAATTCCGAGCCCTGGTGTAGATACAGTGACTTCCATTAATATTCGGACACTTTTTAAAACGCAATAACTTTTTTAAAACTAAAATAAACGATTTTAATGTTTTTTAGATGATAGATGGATTAGTATACTAGATAATGACTAAACTACTTTGTTACAATTTTGCTATTACTTGGAATGACAAAACAAAATAAAAAACTTCCGTTTTTAACTTTTTTTATCCGAGCCTATAGTTTAAAAAATGCGTAATGTAGATCTCAGTAAGTTATACGCATGCTGAAGATTTCACTGAAATCGATTGACGCAAAGTCAAATTACAAGTGTTAAAAGATTGTAAAAATTGTCAATTTCTTACACTTGTTGGTTGAAAGTGTTATAAATCGGGACAAAATTGTGATTTTTGCGATCTATAATTGTTTACAGCTCAACCGATTTCGGTGAAATTTTTAACATGCATATAACNCGTGACGGGAATCAGGGGGCGTAGCCCTCGCGATCCTCACATTGCGTGCTGGTTAATTCCGAGCCCTGGTGTAGATACAGTGACTTCCATTAATATTCGGACACTTTTTAAAACGCAATAACTTTTTTAAAACTAAAATAAACGATTTTAATGTTTTTTAGATGATAGATGGATTAGTATACTAGATAATGACTAAACTACTTTGTTACAATTTTGCTATTACTTGGAATGACAAAACAAAATAAAAAACTTCCGTTTTTAACTTTTTTTATCCGAGCCTATAGTTTAAAAAATGCGTAATGTAGATCTCAGTAAGTTATACGCATGCTGAAGATTTCACTGAAATCGATTGACGCAAAGTCAAATTACAAGTGTTAAAAGATTGTAAAAATTGTCAATTTCTTACACTTGTTGGTTGAAAGTGTTATAAATCGGGACAAAATTGTGATTTTTGCGATCTATAATTGTTTACAGCTCAACCGATTTCGGTGAAATTTTTAACATGCATATAACTTACCGAAATCAACAAAACACATTTTTTAAATTTTCGTTATAGGATTAGATAAAAAAATTAAAGTAACGAGAGCTTTTTATTTTATTTTGTCATTCTAAGCAATAGCAAAATTTTAAAAAGCAATAGCAAATTTTATTCCAATTATGATCCAGTAGATTGGTCGTTCTATCATTTAAAAAAAAAATTCAAATCGTTTAATCCAGTTCTAAAAAATGTCATTGAGTTTTAAAAAGTGTCCGAGTATTAACGGGAGTCACTGTAAATTTTAGCGAAATTCAATGTAGTAGTAGTAACAGTTGTTTTTTACAAATTTCTCCGAAACTAGAGTCGACCACCGATTGTTTAAAACGACAAAGTTATTCCGAATACCGTCTTTTATAACACATTTCAAAACCATCGAAATCGGGGAGGACGCAGCTTTTCGACAAGTTGAGCGAAGTAGGTACGTCAATCGTAGCTAGTTCTGATGTTAATAATTCCAGAATTCATGTAAAGAAAAATTGATTTACTCCAGCGAAATAATTATAGCGAAATTTGTTTAATTGCCACTAGTTCGTGAATGAGAGATGACTCTTGACAATGATTCAGTGTTTAAAGTGCTAATAAAGTGCTGCACGCGTGAACATCGAGGGAATTAAGACATATTCTACCCAGACGCTTATTTGTACTTTATTATCAATGAACAGAATAATTCGACTACGTAAAAAATAATTTCCCAAAAATTTTATTACAATTGAATAACAGTAAAAAGTGCTAACAATGCCTCAAGGTTTCCAAGGTTTTGAAGAATTTCTCATAAATATTAATTCCTACAGAAATTTCGATTAAAATATTGTAACTATTTCTACAATATTTGTAAATGTAACTTTCTCTCGTAACCTTCGACCATTATTAAAATGATAACGTTTGAATACTGAAAAGATTACATTACACTTACTAATGATATTACGCTAATTTGCATGCTGTACGAGCGACAAGAAATTACTCATAACGTTACTAACACAACATTCGTTTCTGATTTAAAGGAACTTTTGCTTTTCGTATAATTAAATGCAGGCAAGTAAATTACTTCGTGTTTTATTCGACGTGATGCGCGATAATTAAATTACCATAAATATAGCGACGTTGTGTAATAATGTACGCCAGCGGAATAAAGACACGTGGAGTACGAGAATATGAGAAATGTTGAAGATTATGAAATGACGAGACAAATACAATTCTGCTTTATGATATAAAATTCATTTCATATACGGCGCTGTCTGCTTTATCATACTCCGCCTTCCTATTTTAAAACTTCTCCCTCGCGTCAAGCGTACGAGTGCTGAAATGCATTTACGGTATTCACTGCAGTTTTATCATTTCGAGTTTTATTATCACAGAGGTCTTAATCTTAGAAAACTAATGTGCAGCGAAATATTCGGAAAGAACTTGACAAGTTTGTTTTTATATTGTAGAAGCAATTAGTGTCAAAGTCGAGCAAGATTTGATTCGAATGACAAATAACAGATAAAGAATAACAAATTAAAATTCATCGACACCACCGCATAAGTATCCAATCGAGTGGACATTGATCTAGATAACAATTTATTCGAACAAGAATTCATTCGAATAAAATTTTAGTCGAATAAGAATTCATTCCAACAAGATTTTCACATACGGAAAGTAATTGATTTGAATGAAGCTGATAGAATATGAAGTGCTTTTTTCATAATTTCTTGATTTATTTCTTCCATATTCCTATATTAAACGTATATATATAATCTTTGTACAGGTGCAAAGGAAAGCATCGACAATTTTATCATTCCATATCGTAATTGAACTGATCCTGAATGTATTCTTACAAATATATTCCTATAACAAGGAAGTCGATAAAAGAAAGGAAATCGATAAAAGAGTCGATAATTATTCGCATTAATATATTCGGATGATATTACAATCACTATTCGAATACAAAATTTTTTGAATAATTTATTGGAATAAATGGATATACGACGAGTAATGAATAACCGTAATTCGAATAAAATATTTTACAAAAAAGAATGCATTCAGATAATATGTGTTAGATAAAGCAATTATAGATAAAATAATAGATAAAACAATATTTTAGAAACTGATCGGTTTGCATATTGGGCAGTATATATTCAGATTTACGTGTTGACTTCACGTTGTAGCGTCAAGATATTCGCAGCGCCTTCAGATTGTGAAAAACATTCTTGAAAATCGAGAAAATTCGTTAACGATGGCGCAAGCTGCAGCTCCTCTGTTTAAGGACCAGATCGAGAATAAAGAACTAAATGGATTATATGGCCCGAGAATAAAATAGAAAAGCTTAAGATTACGTTTACTCAGTGAAGAGTGCTCGCATCTTCGCATGTGGCGACTCGACACCATTATTTGAATTCTATGTACAGTAAATTCTCTCCAATTATCCCTCAGCTTTTAAACAAAAATGGACAATTTGGGAAGAGGATATACGATGTTTTATAGGTGTTGATAATCAGCGACTATAAAAATCAGGCACAATGCTCGAATAATCGTATCTCCTCTTCTCAAATTCTTATTTACAAGCTGTGAGATGATTGGAGAGAATTTACTGTATATCCACCTATACAGAGTAGATGCATACCCCTGAATTCAGAAAATACGAGGCAATATTGCTATTATTGCTATAATATGTTTTTAATTTGAATCATTCAGCATTAAAGATTATTAATTTTACTCTCATTTCAGTATCCTCTCAGAGATCTTAAAAGAGCAGATGGTAATTCGAAGACTGCTTTTTGCATGAATTTCGACACGTATCTAGTAATAAATCATTTACCTAAACAAATTGAAAGACATTTTTTGCTGTCTGGGCATAGTACTGCCGTCTGCGTGTCACTATTCTCTTAACTTTACGTTTTAACGAAAGCAAAACAGCTTCTAATATCTTTTTGTCTGAGAATTGTTAATTTACTTGGACAATTAAGCTTTCAATTGCTATATATTCGATTAATTGGAATAGTTTGAGAGTGATCGTCAGCTACTGGCGGCATCCATTGGGCGAGCGTTCTAAAATACCTCTCAACCAATCTGGTTTAAATTAATCCTTCGAGAATGTTTTGTTATATTTTTTCAATTAGGTATTTCGAAGTCTCTAAATGTAGTATTTCTGTAATTATATGTTAGACTAAATACACAAAAACACATTAAATTAAGAAACACATTCATCGGAAGAAATAACCTATCGTATTTCGTCCCACATAATTAATATTTATATACAATTTTCAAAATAATATAACAATAGGTAAGGTGGGCGTCTTTTTAAATGAAGAGCAGTTGCATTAAATTGTTAATGCTATTTATTTCTTCTGGAACGTAAAATATTAGAACTGCTTATTCGAAGTACTAACATATTTAGCACGAAATCGAAATAAGCGTAAACCTCTATACTTGACAGAAGGTAGAAAGTAGATCGTATAATCCATCTGTTGTCCACGATTTCTCTCCTATCATAAAGGAAAATGGTTTCGTTAATGTCGGCAAAGTCTGTCCGCTTCCAGAAACGCGACCTTAAATCTTCCTAGAGCTTTGTTACGACCACTCGAAATTGGTTATGATCCCC